AAGTAAAAAGTCACCAAATTATTCCCAAATTTTATTCCTCTCAGTTGCATATAGTAGCACATTTTGCTCTCCATCTGCCTTGGCCAGCATCTTTTCTCTTTTGTCTCTTTCTCTTTTTATTTCTTTCTTTTTCTCTCTTTCTCTCTTCTCCTCTTTCTTATCCTTCTTTCTTCTTCTCTTTCCAGGAGTGCTTTTCACATGAGAGGCACAGAGTCTTGGTTTTATGATCACCTTTACTTCAGTGTAATTGTTTCAGCGTGCTCACTATAGCTTTAATGCTTCAAACCATAAAATTTAAAGGCTTCAGAGAATTCACCTGAATGGAAAGAGTTTGCTATGGTTGAAAATGACATACACTGCCTTTAATTTAAATAAATACAAATAAACCCACAGAAGTGTTGTCCAGATGGTTTGTTTCTTTAGCAGAAGTAATGTGGTGGATCACAAATCCAGAGTTCATTAAGATTTTAAAAATCCATTTGCTAAAGAGAAAATACAAAAGCTGCCAATAAAAGCTTTTGCACAGCCACAAGAATAGTGCTTTCAAACTTCTTGAATTTTTAATGCATTTGGGAAGAAGGGGGAGTGGAGGAAGAGAATTAATACAGACGTTTCAAGGTGAAATATTTCAACATTTCTAATGGACTGCAAAATGTAAGCTCTGAAGCTTCTGTGTCTATTGCAGAAGAAATGCAGTTGTGTCATTTAAATTCAGAGAGCCCTTTTTCATTTCCAAAGAAAACATTCTGACCACACAAATTTAGGAAACATTTTAGCAGGCTAAAATCTTCACCAAATACCAAAGAATATAGTTTTTAATCCTCTCCTCTCTTTTTTTTCCTTTCCTCTTTTTATTATCAATTTTTAATGTTTAAGCATAACTTGACTGTGTACCTTTTAAATTCTCTAACATGAAGACTATCCAGAAAGTTATATTTGACAAATGCATTTTCTTCTATACCAGAACACCTTCTATTATAGTTTCTCAGAAAGATATATTCTTCAACTGTACTTGTAAGCCTAGTGGCACAAATTCTGATGCTATATTCAAAAAGCAAAAGTTATATTTACATTGGTGTTTCTTGATTTTCATCAATAATTAATAGTGCAAGAATTTATCCCTTTTTGACTTGTGCAGTGTTTTCACGCTGCACTGTTTCATAACTGTTTCATAACAGTTCTCTCACACTTCTGAATGTAACATTCTTATTGTTTGTTGTTTTGTTTTTCCTCACTGAAACTGTATCTCATTATAAACTTCAGTACATTTGACCTTACATTTAAATCATGGTCTGTTCCAGTATGAGTGTTTCCCAAGTAATTATATCATTAGATATTATCAATTTTTCAGATCATTGCATACCAGATTTTGTATGAGCTGAACATTTTCTAGGATCAGTCTAATTTTATAATATTTTAGGCCATGATCTTTATTTATTCTGGTTTATTTGGTGTATTGCTGAATTTTTCCTCATACTGAATTTTTTTACAAGTTATTATAATTTGTAAATGTAACTATTAACTTTTAATTTCTTTTTCTAAATTTTTTTAATGTGTGTTACATAAAACAGACGCTATTACTGAATACTGCAAATTGAAAACATTCAAAATTTGCAGGCAACTAAATTGTTTACAGATTTAGTCAGATGATTTGGGATCTTCCTACTGTGAAACATGAAAGCAATGTTTTAAAATACTGATATGAAATACTGATATGAAATACTTACAGCTTCCTAAAATATTCTGTGTTTACACACATACATATATATATGTATGTATGCATGTATGTCTTTATGATAGTTACTCAGAAAAATGCACTTTTGACAGGAAAGAGAGCAAAATAAAGAGGTGTGTTGTTTTAAGGAGTCGGCAGTTGGCCAAGCATTTATACCCGAGAAAAATATAACCTGGTTACTAGGCATGAACTGATGTGAAGTGTCTTACCACACATACTCCCAAAAAATTCATGCTCATGAAATTATTTCCATAACACAAATCTGTGGGTTTGCATACACAGATAGGTGTTTGCAATTGTCCTTAGATGGACAATTGTCCATCCAAAAGATGCATTGTCCTTAAATATTTAAGGAAGATCAGTGAAAATCTGACCTACTTATTGAATAATCTGACCTTCTAATAATATAATGGCCAGCATTTTCCCACCCTTAAGAGAAGAATATTAAGGTGGGATTTCTAGACAACATATTCCTCAAAAGTGCTGGTCATTATCATGGTCTTATTCCTTCCTTTCCTTCCCCTAAGACATTTTATCTCTGTCTTTACCCTTTTGGTCAAGATGTTTATATTTTTAGGCAAAATCCCAATATTACAAAATTTTATCAAGTTCCAGCAGAGAGGTAAGATGCTCAAATGCCTCCCTGTTGCAAAAGCACTCGCACCTTATTTTGCTGTGAACTTCATTTATATTAAGTATATAATCCTTAGATAAATGCAGAAGATGTAAACATCAAAGAATATTATATCAGCATCAAGCATAAGGTAATAGGCTTTATTCTGACAGTGTTCATGCATTTAAAAGCTAAACTGAATCTTTATCGCCACACTTTTGTTCATAATAGCAAGTAGGTATAATTTCCACATCCATATACCTGATAACATAGATGAGATTTTTTTTACAGAATTTACATAATGTGTAGATTTTATTATGTGAAATTTAAATATTTTCTGGTTTTTTATGAAACAAAATTATTTAATACTCCTCTGAAATTAACTAATTAATTTACTTGTGGGATCAAAATGAACATGCACTGATTTAATTCCAAACTGTACTATTTCCAGCTCAGGTATTTATGATGTACTAAATTTTTAGCTTCTATATGAATGCATAAACATACACAGGGAATAAACTTAATAAAAAATGCAATATTTGTTTTAGCTGAGCCCTGCAAAGCAGCTATTGTCTTAACTTCAAACTTATTCCAGACAAGTATTTTGAAAAGCAATGTTGGCATCTTTCTTTATTTTAGAAGAACAAGAATGTCAATATATATTTTAAGAGAAAAATGTATTTGCCAAAAAATCTTTTCTTAGCTAGAATGAGAATGTGTCCTGCAAACAAGAATTCCTGCTGTCTACTGCTATTAATAAGCAATCAGACATATCTTGACTCTTCCACACTTCTTCCCTTTGCCAATCAGGAGAATCCCTGAAAGTTGCTCTATGGGGGCATCCATTTTCCTGATCAGCAAAGAAGAAATCTGCTGAAGGGGCTCCTTTATTAGTCTGGTGAAATATCCTTCTAATGAACTTTGCCATTATTGAAGTTGTAATGTTTAATGCAATCTGACAATCTGGAGCAGAGCCTGCCCAGCCAATGATATGAGAGAAGAAAAACAAGGACTTCTCCTTGGTCTTGCAGAATGTTCATGCTTATCTGAGCACACTCCCCAGCTGCATATAACTAAATACATTCTTTGTTCTTGATTACTTTTGTGTATTGCTTTCAAAAGCACACATTTCCCACTTGTTCAGCATTGGTTTGGCAGCCTGAATATTTCACCAGACCATGTTATAGGACATTGCAGTATTTATCTTGCTCTATTAATATTAAATCCTGCTGGGAAAAAGACATCCCTGGTGGTGAAACATTTGACCAGGCTTCAACATATAGATACATAATATCATTGGCAACTCTTTATCACAGAAAGATTAATTTTAGGATTTATATTCCTGAGCCATCTGAGACAATGTTTTAACATTAAAATGTACATAGTGCAGTAGGATAAAATAGAGCCTAACTGCAGAAAAAAGATCTTTGCTATGACTCCTGCTATGACTTTACCCCATCTAAGACTAAAACAGCTCCTTTGACCTTCCTTTATTTCCACATTAACATTCCAGTGTTACTCTCACTTCTTCCAAGTACCAGTATAACCCTTATACCCTCAAGTACCTTGTGTAACCCTTTATACAGAGATATATAGATTCCGTCTACTTTTCATTTTTCTTTGTCTTTTTTATAATGTCCTATTTAAGGTGCATAAGGAAAAAAAGTGGGGAAAATATACAGAGGATTGTAATACAATGTGCAACATTCCTAATATTTCTCAAGGTAATTGTCTCAAAATTAAGGTAAAATCATTAGAAAAATCTCACAATGTATTTTATTTCATTTTTATCCTTCTAGCAAAAGAAAATATCACAAGAAAATACCAGTGAACAAAAGGGAAAATGCACAGTATTCCCTGTTGCATGCATCCTTAACAAGAGTTTTTTCTCCTTTCCAGGTTTATGAAAGTGCATAACTATCCTTTCTTTAGGAGAGAAGATTGATAAAGACTGGGACTGGACTAGCCTCTAGCTACAGTAACACAGTTTTGAACTGAGCCTTCACCCGTGGCTGACTCTCAACCAACATTAATAAAATGCCCCTTTGCAGGACTAAAGTTGTTCAGACTTCAAAATGTGAAAGAAGCTAGTGTAAAATTTCACAAATATCAGATAGATTAGATTAGATAGATAGATAGATAGATGATAGATAGATAGATGATAGATAGATAGATAGATAGATAGATAGATAGAGATAGACCAAGTGAATTCACTTGGGTCAAATTTTAGAAGTAAGTATGGAAACTAATTTTTCTCTGCAGATATTAAAAATCCGCTTGGTGATGATCCTGTGCCACCTAGTCTAGGTGAACCTGCTTCAGCAGAGGAGTTGAAATAGATAATTACCAGACATCTTTTCCAACCCCAATTATTATGTGATTCTGTGATATTTAAAGACTATTTGAGGAGAGTAATTTTCAGATAACAAGTACAATTGAAAAATTTTAAATGAGACGGCAATTTGCAGTTTTCTTAATTGCAGCTGACATTGGTCCCACTCCTATACATATATCTGTTTATCCTCTAATCAGGACACTGATTATTTCTCCATGGGTTATTTAGAATGCAGGAAAGGGTGCAGGCAGGAGAAAGGGTTAATCACAGTGTGAGAGCACTATTACAGAGGTTCTCAAAAAGAATGAAGACTAAAACAATAGACACAAATGTAGTCTATATTTAATGATCCATAGAGTTGCAGTACAATTGCAGATGGTGCATTGAGCTATGATATTTGCTGTTCAGATAAATCACATTTAAAACTTCTCTTCGAGTGAAGCTTGTTGCTGGCCTCTTTCTCCATATTGTATTTCCATTTAGTTCAGCTGCCATAGTCTATTAAGAAAAAAAAAAAAAAAAAAAATCAGGAAATCTGGAAGTCTTCCATTTCTTCTGTTCCTTAAACACTTCAGTGCAATTGCTCCAGTCTTCAGCAACTAACACAGGAAAAAGGAAAAATATCACACATTGACTCAAAACTGAACCTGACAAAGAATTTGACAAAATAAGAGTAATAGATATGAAAGAATATCTGGAAATGCAGATGGAATTGTCATGTTTGTTTGCACTTCTTAAAGTTGTTTTAGACCTTAAAAAAAATCAGTGGTTTTTTTGCATTTTTTTTCCTATATTTCCTTCTAGAAGTTAACCTTGGGTTCTTTCTCCTAATTTATTGCAGTATTTTATGTTCTTGCAAATGTTTTATTGCTCTAGTATAATCTATTCAATATCTCTACCAGGCAGTGAAGCTCACTCTAGTTGTATCCAACATTCTCTCTGTAATATAACTCTGGAAACTCACCTGAAATTTTCACCTTAACAAGTTATATCTATGCTGTTGTACTTTATTTTTACTCAGCTAAATAGTGCCTGAATTATAGAAACTGTTTAATAGAGTTGGCATTCAGCAAATATTTAGCTGCAATTAGTAGATTTAGCATCTCTTCTCAAGAAGTATGATTTTTGTTTTGGAATTGAATATGACAGCCTGCCCAGGATCAAACTTTATCTCAGAAGATAACAGCTGCCATTTGAAGAGCACGTTTGTAGTTGCTTTTTAACATCAAAAATTTGCACTTCAAAGTGGCACAGAAAATAAGTCATTGCCAGCTGGAGGGACAGCTGAAAGATAAAGCGATACATGAAGAACTGTTGCTCCCAATCTGGTTCTCTTTGGAGGGGGGGAATATTTCTATGGAAAAAGAAACAGAATTGTTCAGTACTGCCTATTTTACAGTGAAATTTAAAAAAAATCATAGAATGGGGTGGGTTGAAATGGACCTTAAAGATCACTTAGTTCCAACCCTCCTGCCATGGGCCATGTCACTTTCCACTGGACCAGAGGATCCAAAGGGAAAATTAAAAGAGCAATCTTTACTCGTGCAATGTCTGAGAGGGATGGATGTCAACACATGTAGTACTCAAACATTTACAAGCCTCATGATCATTTTTACCTGGAAATGAAAAGGCAACAGATGCAGAATCACAGTTGTTTTTTTGGTTTTTTTTTTTCCTGGGAAATAAAAAATAAAATAAGAAAGATAAGAATCCATATGTACACTGGATTAGCATTGAAATACAGAAATGAAAGATGCATGAAAAATTACAGTATTTTGGTTTTTGAGATAACAAACACAGCAGTTATAAAATCTGTAACCAAGGAAAATATCATGGGCCAGATTTCTGGATAATTAATAGAGATACTTCAGTAGCTCAAATGCCAGACTATCATTGAATCGAGATTTATCAGTCCTGCTGAAAATTCTACTAAAATTACACTCTAGACACATAAAAATATGCAGAAATTTGTACCGTGACTTTTTGTTTTGTTGGTAATGCAAAAAAAAACCCACATGAAAACCCTAGGAGCTGGTGCTCTAAAAGTACCTCTGCATTTCTAGTATTTCTATACTATATTAAGCAGTACATTAAAGTTCTATTGCTTTATGTTGTTCTGTTTTTTTTGTTTTGCTTCTAAAGATTTCTGCCTATTTCTGGTTGTTTATTACATTGCATATGAAGTGAAAGCTGATATAGCCAGGGAAGTATATTTTTCTGTGGGATCTTCTTGTTCAAAAGACCTCCTTTCCCTAAAAATTCTGCTGAAAAATTTCATTTTATGTTTCAGATAGTCTTCTTGAATAGTCACTGTGCCATAGGTAATAGTCAGTTATAGGTCAATCCTTCAGAGCTTTTACTTAAGATGAGATTTTGTTAACTTAAAAGAAAGAGGTAGCATCATTAGTGGGCCTGCTGCGGACCCACTACTCCAAAAGCAGGTATCAGAAAGGTTTTTCTCTCTCTTTTGTATTTTTGGATATTATTCTAAAATATTAAAATGCTTATTTCATAAAATCATAGAAAAATTACAGTCCAAAAAGACAGCTAACTTCATTGTGTCCAACTGAACTGTATTTTTCTGAAATCAAGAAGCCCAAATTCAAATACCTATTTTCAAATATATATTAAAAAATGCAAGAAAAATTCTTTCCTTATTGTGAGATATTGTGTGATAATTAATCATCCTGAAAGAGGAATGAGCTTAGAAATGGAAAGTTAACCAAAACAAAACTATTAATAATGACTTCTAAAAACTTTGTGTAGCAACTATATTTCCTTTCAGTTATGCATTCAAGGTGTATTACTAAAAACAGTAAGAGCAATAGAATTTAAAAGGGACTAAAGCTATGTAATCAGTTATTAAGTTCACACAAGGATACTCATCCTGCAATTTTGAAACCTAGCCAAATTCAGCCCAATTGTGCTCCTTGACTGATCAGCTTCTTTGAGTGCTGTTAAGATCTTCCTGACAACTTGCAAGATTTTCATTTCTTGACTCTCTCCTTTCCTGGTCACTCTTCACCTATGTCAAACAGTCAGTTTTTCAAACAACAGCAAATGCTCCTTTTTCTTCCATCCTCCATTTCTAATTCCTTATTTTTGTTCTTCCATGGCTTCTTTCTACAGAAAACGTGACGCACAAGAACAATTCACTGTCAAATTAGCCTTTCCCTGCTTATTGTTTCAGTACAACTTTCTTACCTGACAAATGAAAGTCACTCCCATGATATCATCCCTTGGTAGCAATGCCTGCAGGGGCTCTGAAGAGCTGCTAATACAGTGCCATGACAGCAGCTCACTTTCGTGCCATTTTTGGTCTTTGATATCACTCTGGCTCTTCAGAGCCCAATCGTGTTTTTTTTTGTTTTTTTTTGTTTTTTTTTTCACTTGTTTAAGATGTAGTTTTTTGCAAATTACAGAGCTAAAGACCTTGTCTATATATTATATACTGCATTTCAGATAAAACAATGTTTTCTCCTTGTTTTGACACCCACTGATAAGTCCTGACTGACTTATACTTATCCATCTACTTGTTCCTGGGTTTTGCCCTCCCTTTAAAATTTTTTCCATCAGGTACTTCTACTTCATAATCACTTTACAATCAAGCATAATCCAGTTTCCTTCATTTTCAAGGACCTTAACAATCTTGAAATACCCAACTATCATATCTTATTTATGATAAAATGTCACCTCATACCTCAGATGAATGCACCACTATTTGTTATATTTTCAAATAAGCTTCATGCTGCCTCTCAGACATGGGAGGAGTTTCTCAGAAATATTTTCAGAGCAGATAACTGATGCAATCTTTCATCTTTCCCCTTAAAATTCTACATCATGATGCTGGTGAAAAATATTGGCATCCATTTGGTGATATACTCATTCTTACTGCATAGTGATTTAGAAATATTGTCTCAGATTTTTTTTTTTATTTATATTCCTTTTATGACTAGATTTATGCATAAGAAACAAGTTAATCATGACAGGAATTGTCTTTTATCCCTGTGTTTGAAATGTTTTGCAGCTTGGATTACGGTTGCATGAAAGCAAAACTCAGCTTTGCTTTTAGTATGACATGAGAGAGTATTATTCTTTCATTAAATTGCATTAGATCTTTGGTATTTCTGGCTGTGTAAAAGTAGAAAATGTATTAATTTAGAAAGAGTTGAATCTCAACTTTGCTCACATATGTTTTCACAGCCATTGCTAGTGAATTTTTTAGTCATTCCCTTTACAGCTATAGACAAACACTTTCATTGTCTTAATGCTGAAAATACTTTTGCTTCCAGATTTTTCTTCATTTAGAAAGAAAAATTGTTCTTACTTCTTAAGTTAATTGGGTTGTGATAATAAAAAGATAGAGGTAATAAAAATGTGACAAATATAAGCAGCTTCATAACTGCCTTCAGACATAAAAGTCATAGAGAATTATATATTTGAGATACTGCTGAAACACTGATTTGTGTAATGTGTTTATAATATTGCTATTGTATCCTTCGTTATTTAAAAATACAGTCTGGCATAGCTTGATTTCTTGTAACATCTGCTACAAGCTGGATATATGCTTCCATTGCACTGCATGATGTAAGAAATGCATCAGGGAAAGAAAAGTAAGGGTGAATAAATAGTAAGTACCTGACTTTAATATACGTGTGCAGCACGTACATTGCACTCATCAACAGGCACTGTCAGGCCACGTTGCTGTGCCCAGCACGAGTTCAAGGTCTAATAGGCTGTAGTGATGTATTTGGCAAACAAGCAAAACTCCAAGCACACACAAGAATGTGTTGAATGCAGTCCAAGTGATCAAACAGCATCCAGTGGACCAGAACACTACACTGAGTGGTCTAGCTTAAGATCAGAATGAAAATGGAAACAAATGGAAAATCTTCAATGTAAGTCACTTTTCTCAATCCTTTTGATTGATGTGTCTTTCTATTTTCTACTGTCCAACATGCCAACAGACACATGTGGCTTTGGCAAAGACTCACCAAATGTGGGAGCATCATGTTCTAAGAACAAACCACAAAAAAGCACCAAAGAATTTTATCACAGTAGCATCAAGGTTGGAAATAATTGAAACTGGATGTTTCACAGAAAACAGCACTGAATCAATTTTTTTGAAACTGTCTGCACAGACAATATGAAAAGATAGCAGAGACCAACATAGCACATCACTGGATGAACAAGCAACAGAAATTATATGCAGAATTCCTACTTTGTTTTCCTAAAATGGGATTTTGGTGGAATTCTATGGTTTAATACCAAGAGATTAATCTGCAATACCTATATTTAAAAGGTAGACTAGACTTAGGGGTTGAGTACCAGGTGCAAATATTAGCCAGGAATAAATCTTCCATTTTAGCAATGTTGTTTATTGTCACCATGAGATTAATTTCAACCTGCTTAATATCCTTATAAGTCTTCTTAAGATCTATATTCTGAATCCAGTACAGTGTATCACAACTATAACCTCACAATATATGCATTTCAATATATTGGATAAAGTATTCTCTCTGCAAACAGGATTCTTGTTTTAATATTTTTTTCCATAGACTGAAAGTCTTTGAGCTCCCATCTCTCACTTACTGAGAAAAGAATTTAATTGCTTGTTCACAGACTGAATGAGGATATTTTACACCTTTTTTTGTGTCTGAGTCAATCCAGATCCAAGAATGATGGAGCCAAAGACCAGAAAGAGTGATATAACACTGAGCATGGCATCTAGAATCATAGAATCATAGAATATGATGAGTTGGAAGGGACCCATCAGGATCACTGAGCACAAATTCTGTCCTGTGTAGGACACCCCAAGAGCCACACCATGGGCCTGAAAAAATTGTTGAAACTCTCCTTGAACTCTGTCAGGGTTGGTGCTGTGGCCACTTCCCTGGGGAGCCTGTTCCAGTGCTCAGGCATCCTCTTAATGAAACACTTTTTTCTCATATGCAGCCTAAACCTCACATGACTCAGCCTCATGCCCATTTCCTCGAGCTGTGTCAGTGGTCATGAGAGCAAAGAGATCATACTTGCCCCTCCACATTCCCTCCTGAGGATGTTGAAGACCAGCAGGGTGGCAGTTGCTCTCAGTTTCCCATTCCTCCTGGGATTATCACAGACAAGACAGATAAAACTTGTAAGTATTTTCAGACAAGAGTTTTACAGAAAAAAAAAAAGAACAGCAAATGTTTCAATATCAATAGTTTGTGTGAGAATAAATAAGAGCACAATAAAACCTGTGCAAGGTCTGCAATTACTTCCTAACAAGCACATCCTGAAGACGCAGAGAACAGAAGTATCTATATTCATAAATGTTGTTATTGCTGGTACCACCAACACACAGACACTACAAGGCTGTCATGCCAAATGTACTTCAGTAATTTCAGAGAAGAAAGAATATTGAAAATTAACACCTCTGCATACATGTTTGCATGAAAATGAGTACTGATTTCTAACTAAATTAAGTATAAGTGTAATAACTGGAAACAGATCACTTAAGTGTAAGGGTCAGTCTTAGTCTTAAGTCTGCAATTAGACTGAGAGGCTTCTTATATATTTTTGATTTGTTACCTATACTGGATGCACATGCTCAAGAAAACAGGCATTTCTTGGATAACTACATAATGTAAGGGGTGAAGAACTGGCACAAAGGATTAAAATAAATGGGGTTACATCAGGCTGGCACTTGTCACCAGTGGGGTTATGCAGAACTTGATCTCCAGGCTAGAACTTCATTTAATGACCTGGATGGAAGACTTGAAGTGTTACTAAGTTTACAGATCATAGTAAATTTGGAAAAGCTGTTGACTCTTTAGAAGGCAGAGAGACCTACACAAATCAGAGATGTGGGAAATCACCAGCTATAAGAAGCTTAGCAAAGACAAGTGACAGATTCTGCACCTGGGGTGGGACAACCCTGGACGTGTGTCCTGTGTCTCCAGGACACTGTGCCTCCAGTCTGTGTCTCCTGGACAGACTGGAGAATGAGAATCTGGAGAGCAGTGGTGTGAAAAGAGACCTGGAGGTCCTGGTCAATGGCAAGTTGAGCCTGAGTTTGCAGTGCCCTGGAGCAAGGAGAGCCAAGCGTGTCCTGGGGGACACCAGACAAAGCACCACCAGCCAGGCAAGGGAGGGGGTTGTTCCCTCTGCTCTGTGGTGTCCTCTGAGTCCTGTGTGCAGTTCTGGGCACTGCAATGTAAGCTGTAAACCTCACAGAAAGCATCCAAAGGAGGTGATTGGGAAGATGGTGAAGGTGATGAAGAAGCTAGAGAGGAAGTCATATGAGGAGTGGTGAGGTCACTTGTTCTGCTCAGTCAGGAGAAGAGGAGACTGCGGAGAGACCCCACTGCAGTTATACCGGGGGGTGGGGGGGAAGAGGAGGGACGGGCACTGACCTCTTCTCTCCAGTGATTCAAGGGAATGTCCTGAAGTTGTCTCAATGGATGTTTAGGCTGGTATTAGGAAAAGGTTTTTCAACCAGAGAGATAGTTCTTTATCACATCTGAGAAAGAAATAAAAATTGGCTCCAGAATGAGGGGATGTAATCTGATGTTATATTTATTAATCACATAATAGTGGCTTGCCTATTTTATCCAAGTTGTCTTCCCTGCAATGAGAATGGTAAACATTTCGCAGTAGGAAACCCTTTATTTCATGCTCTCATCAATGCTTTGATCTTTAATGCTTATCACAGTTTCCTGTTGAATACTGAGACACATAATGGGCATAGTCTGCCAGAACAGCAACCTACTGTGGCTTTCTGACCAGAATTCTGATCAAGTATGCAACAGTTGGAAATGATATGACAATGCTATTCCTGCCAATATATGATCGTGTTTTGATTTATTTATTTTGTCAGTGCAGAGGTGGATATTTTTTACAGCACTTTTATTGCACTTTGCCTTTTTCTGAGAAGTACGTTCTTCAAGAATTTCCCACGTTTTTAAAAACACTGATAGTTCTCCACTTTGACCATGTGTTTTCAGTTATCCAAATACTAAAAATGTAAAAAAATATTAAATCTAAATTTTACATCTGGATTCAAATACACACCCATATATTTAAGAAACACAGATGTGTATGCAATAAAACAAAGGTCTTCTCTTGTTCTAATCCTTTAATTTCCTCCCTAATACCTTTTTTGTCTTTTTTCCCAACTCTTGAGTTTACTGGCAATGATCTGTTTGTGCCAGGGAAGCTGTGCTGATTTATACTAGCTAAGAAATTAAACTCCTGTTTTCCAATAACTGTATTCTGTGGGTCATTAAAAAAAAAATTCTTTTTTTCACCCTTTAGTTTATGTTTCTGAATTCATTTTTCCTTTCTTTGAATGAACTTGTTTATACTGAAAATGCTGGACATTGTATTTTCATTAATTGCAGTGCTAGTTTCATCCTATATTCCTTCATGAAAAGGAAAAGTGGTGTACTACATAGCAAGAGGCTTCCAAGCAAGCTGTCAGGGTTTGAGTGTGTTTCTCTGCATTATTGTGGTATTGGAGTTATTTCTTCAGATTTTTGGACCTTTTGCTTATTAAAACAAATTCAATAGGCTTTAAAATTTTTCAGGCCTAAATCACCATGACTTTACCCCAATAAAATACTAGTGTAATACTCTTGGCATCTTTAATATTATTCCAGCATAAATCTCTAACTATTATTTTAGCAAATTAGGTCTTTATTTTTAGAGATCTTTGTAAAGCAAGAAAACTGTGAGCTTGTGGATTTTGTGCCATTTAATTGAATATTCATGAAGAAAATTTAGAGTATGAACATTCAGTGCTAATCTGTAGAGTTTTCATTTGAAGTCTTCAACTTATTTTTAAATATGTGTTCCTCATTTAATTAAATATAAAATGAATTGGTATTTCTGAAATAATGTGGGTAAAAATCCATCACTTGAAGTTCCATCCAGTGCCCATTGAAATAAATGTGCATCATGTAATCCACATTCCAATGTTTTCATAAAAATGAATTACGATCTTTGGTATTCTGTGTTAAATCTAAATAATCAAGCTGACATATTAAAGTTAAGAATCTTAGGCATAAAATTTAGAATCTTGTTAACTTGGAGTCAGAAATGAAAAGCAAAAAGATATATTTTGTAAATTAGTGTTTCTGACAAAGACTCCATCATGTTTCTCTATATGTTTGTTGGAAAATGTTTTGAATCTCTGGAAATAGATTTAAAAATTGGTAAAATGATAAGAAAACAGGATAGCTAACTGGGTTGGAGACTACTTTATTCCTTAAACACTGCTGGTGACTCTATCCCACAGTTAAAGTATCGCTTTAGAAGCTGCATAAACATACTCTTTTCTGCTCCTCCTGTGATAATAACACGCTGGTACACAGTGAAGTGTGCTGCCTTTTCTGTGAAATGGTTGCCACAAGAGTAATAAGTGTGAACTCTGATACTAATCCCATTTTCAGATTATATCTGACACCTCCATATGGGCAACTAAAAATGTGTAGGAGGGTTGGGATGCTAGAAAACATGCTCAGTTGTGATTCTAGTTTTGTAACAAAATGCAAAGGAAAAGTAGAACAATAAAAAAAAGAAATATTTTTATTTGCATTTTATATGACTGTAACATAAAACAATACTATATCCCCAAATTCCTCATATGTGCCAGCATCCAAACACAGTGTGAAGTTTATATCAAGCCATAGGTTCAGTTTTTATACACTCCATTATTTATCCAGCAGTGTCCTTTAGGCATTACATTTGCTGTTTCTCTCAGTGAGAAAGTTTTCCATTTATGAGGGTTTATACTACCATCTAGTGTAATCTTCTCTCTTTTTAGTAGAATATTGTCTTACACATAAGCAAATCCCAAGCCCATGGCTGCTGATATTACTGAGTATACTTTGCTGAAAATACATTTGTCCATGTGTTAGAAAAAATGATCTTTCCTTGAGGTCAAATATTACTTAAGTTTATGATTGTAACTTTTCAGCATCAGAGACATGTTTTATTAATTACAGAAACAAATTTGAATTAAAGGCAAATGGCTGCCCTCCACAATCTTTAATTCAATTAGGGAAGAAATTGCCTGTCTTTAGTGAGATAACAGAGGTTTAATTGGTGCCCCTTCCTTCCTTCCTTCTATATTAAAGAGGGGGAGATTAATGTCTGCCAGGAAAGGATGCAGAAATCAGAAAGAAAGCTGAAGAAACAAGCCATGTTTTAAATGCAGGACCTGCTATTTAATGCTTGAATTAAGGAGCTTTTGCACATACTTTGCTGTTTTAATTTTCAGAAGGCAAAGAAAAGGAGACTAGTTTACCCAAGATACTTCTGCATTCCAGTGGGACTATTTAGAGTTTAGAGTTTGCCTGTGAGCGTAGGTAATATGCCGTGACTGAAAGAAGAAGCAAGAAAGATTATGTAATGAATATATAACATATGTAAGGAGGGTTCTGGGAACCAGGATTTTATCTTCCTAATTGATGCACATTCAGACTGGACTACTATAGTCCCATGAGGAATTCAGATGAAATCAGTGGGATGTATTCTGAAGTAAGATGCACACAGAGGGATGGGCTACGTTTACTTTCAGACCTGTTCATTACCTCATCTAAATCTAATGTAATAGGAATCCTAATGGCACCCAATCCAAAGTCTAGTTAAGTGTTTCCTCAGCTTGAAAAAGAAATTGTGGCCATTATCACATAGTTATTAGATTAATAAAATAATCAGATTAATTTACATACTACAAAATCTAAAAGACTATGGAAAAGAACAAAAAAATAGAAGAAAGAAAGAAAGAAAGAAAGAAAGAAAGAAAGAAAGAAAGAAAGAAAGAAAGAAAGAAGCCCACATAATAAAATAACCATCCCAGCTTATTTGCACAAATCATATTTTTCTTCAAAATAGAAGGATAATATCTTCCATCCTAAATTTCAAATATCTGACCTTTCCCATCCTTTTAAGGCTATAATGTCACCAAATCTTCTATTGTTACAGTCATTTTAGAATCTAATAATAACAATTATTTTTTGACAAGAAACATCTGTTTCCTGTCTGGAAGATGTGTCTGATCATCCTCACCATTATCCACTTTCCCACTGTTAATATACATTCTTATAGGTTTTTTTGGTT